AGTTGCAATTAATTAAACTTATATAATTAGTTGCAACCAGTTGCAACTAATTATAATTTATTATTTAAATTAAGTTGTAACTATAATTTAAATTGCAACTATAATCTAAAATTGCAATAATTATAAATATTATAATCATATTACAATAAATTGCAGATCAATTAAACTTATAAAATTAGTTGCAACCGGTTGCAACTAATTATAATTTATTATTTAAATTAAATTGCAACTTTAATTTAAGTTGCAATTATTATAAAAATTGCAACTTTAATTTAAGTTACAACTATTATAAAAGTTGCAACTTTTAAATAGTTGCAACTATAAATTGCAACTATAATAAATTTTATAAAATTACAACTTATATAATTTAATTGCAGTTACCAACTTTAATTGTGGGAAATAATGCTGGTTTTTTATTTTTGCCTAATTAAAGTTCAAGAATTAACTATTAATAAAATAGTTGATAAATTATTTTCTTTATTAATAATAAATAATTTATAGCATAATCATACAAGTATTATTTCCTAAATTTTTATAATTTTGATTCATATCTCAGTATAAATCAGATTAATAATTACAATACAAATAAAAAAATTTGAAATTCAAAGCTTTTAATCCTATTATTATATATATAAATTTTCAATTATCTAAAAAAATAACTCTATTAGCTAATGAATTCTATCTTTATCATATATTTCATTACTTTAGAGATCAAAAAGTTGATGTTAAAATAATTATCTTATTTTAGCAAGGTTTTCATATTTTTCTCATCTAACATAAAGACAAATACTAAGAAAATAATTATCAAAATTATTAGAATTTATTTAATTTATTAACTACTTAACTAATTTAATAAATATTACTAATATTGATGTTCAGGTTTCAAAATTTTTTATCTTTATTTAAAAATAAAATGTAACCATTACATGACTTTGTTTACAGCTGATATTATGACTGTCTTCACTAAACTTAAGTTTAAGTGTATCACTAAAATTAATAATCATGGGAGAAGCTTATTTTCAAATTAGAATTAAAGTTTATAACATCATGTAAATTGATTTATATGCATCATTTCCAATTTTTCTTCATTAACAATTATACTACCATCATCAGATTCTTCTTCAAAATTATTAGACAGATTATTACTTTTATCAATGTTAAATATTCCAATTCTAATATTTTTATTAATAAGATTAGTGATTTCAGTTCTTCAATTAGCTATTAAGTATTCATATATAAGAGATATTTCAAATGCAGCAAGTCATCAATATCCATCATGTCCTAGTAACGATTCATCACAAGCTCTAATAATTGGATGGATTATATGTTAAGATAATAATTTCACCATTAAAGTCCAATTCTACCCTGCATATATGAACAACTGGCTGATCTGTTTCAGTAGTCATCTGATGTTTTTTAATTAAAGATTTAATTTCTTTTCCATATTTTTACCTAAAGATGTGAATCTTTTATTTTGTCCTAATATAGATTGAATTGTTGATAAAGGTTGTTTTCTTTTATTAACTTTATTAGCTAGTATTATAGGTGCGCCTATTATTTCCAACCGATACTCATGCAATCGTCCAATATCAAAGCCAAAAATATATATACCGGATAAATTGGAATTTGGACGATTATTTTTCTGTAAATTAAAATCATGGATTACTTTTTTATTTAATAGAAAAAAAACTTCAGTCATTAAATACCTTTAAAAATGTACTAATAACACTAGTTGCAGAGCGATCACTATATAAACTCCATTCTACTCTATTTTCCTTCCACGCTACCATAAATCTTACTTTTCCATTTAATTGATATTTTGTTTCACACTGAATTTTTATTCCAGAAACTTCAGTTTCAACACTATAGTTATCTGGTATTTGATATTGAAAACCGTTCTTAGAATTTTTTGTGTCAGTTTAACTGGTGTTGGATAATATCCTAGAGATATTACTTTATACCAAAAATAAAAAGTCTTGGTTCCTGTTATATATTGTGCCTTTATAAAAGGATTTGTAGGATATTGATGCTGAAAATTTTCTTGTAGAATAGCCGTCTAAAAAAAAATTTTATTATTTAAAAAATATTGATAATAATATACATAATTTTTTTTTTTTTTGTTTAGAGAAACGGCACCATTTACAAAACCGCGGGTCCTTTCTTGATTTAAACCCGACATATATGCTATTTAACGAAAAATATTTTACTACTATAAATAAACTAACTATATGTATTGAAATGAGAGTTCTTTGACTCTTTTGATTTCACGAAAACCAATCTGAAACCAATCTGGAGTTCGCGATTACAATAGTTTTTATTGAACACGATTGGTTTTGCAACAGATTTCTGTTATGATTTACACTATCACATCACGTTACACCTGATTTTATCACGTAAATTTATTATGTGATCGGTTGTAGTATTGATTGATGGAAGAGTCCATATACCGAATTTGACATTCCATTTCGAAATTTAAACTTTTGTAAAAAAAAAATCGCATGAAAGAACGTCAAATTTCTTATGATAAATATTATTTACAATTATTGCAAACGATGAAAGATCACCATGGGCCTTCACTAATGGTAATGAAAATTGAGAAATAATCGAGACTTACCAATAATATATTCACGCATAAGAAAGTTTTATTTTCTCGAATAAAGGATATGGAACAGTTTCATCACATTAAGTCGAGTTAAAAGATAATGCGATTATTCAAACAAAATATATCATAGCGAAATTTGGTAATGATTTGGGTTTTATTTAATTTACATATCGATGAACAAGATTATGGAAATGAAGATTTCCTTATGTCAAAGAAATGATGGACCGCCAACCATACAAATATAAGATTTATATTAAAACAGAGAGCCCATCTTAGAAATTTTTAAATGCAATGAACCTATTAGGTGTCTTAAAATAAATATCATTGCGCGGATATGAAATTTAAAAGGTGACCGGCCTGGTGACTTGACCGAAAATGTTAATGTGCGTGGCCTTACATTAAAAGGAGAGTATAAATTGCATTTCTTCATTTGCTTATTTAATCCTCTATCCTCCGCTCTTACAAATCCTTTAAAGTTTTCCTGGTTTTTTTTTTAAAAGTAAATATTTCAAGATCTTGGAAATTTTTAGCGTGTTTTATTTATTTGTCATTTTTTTTTTAAAAAAATACTAATTAACAAAACAGATGAGGGCAATTTGTCAGAATATTAATTTTTGCCTTTTTTTTTAAACAAAATAATTTTTAAATTGCTCGCTTAAATAATTCTCTTTTTAGTGATTTCTAAGAAGGTCACGGTTATTTAGCTTTTTTTTCTTTCCTTTTTTTTTTAACTTTCTCTTTTTTCTTTAATCGAAAAATCGCTAGTTGCACAGTGAGTGCGGATAATAAAACTAGGTTAATTCAAACGATATTGCTTTAAAATTTAATTTCTTTTGCATTTTAATTAGATTTGAGAACAAAATAATAACTAAATGTTAAAAAAATAAAAGTACAATTACCAAAAATACATGCTCTTGAAAAATATGAAGCTGAATTAGATATCTAATTATCATAAAATAGTTAAACTTTTTTTTTACTTTGCTAATAATTTATTTTTTGGTTTTTCAATTAGTGATCAAAGATCGCTACGCCATAAATAAAATCACTAAAATCGAAACCGAAAAAATCGCAATTAATCAATTCTAAATCGATTACTATTTTAGAATCTTTAAATGTTCCCTATTTTCGGCTTCGGCTGCATTTGTAAGATTTTCTTATTTTATTTATTAATTATTTTTTAAAATTCGGGTAGGGTCGCGATTGGTTTATTTTTAATTCTTGAGTTTTTAATTTCTAGTTTCAGGGCGCTGATTTTTTATAATTTGCCTTTTAGGTTCCTCTTTCGGGATGGTTCGCTTCTTTTGGTGAGGTGAATCGAAAGATTATGCTTCAGGCTATTATAGCAATGTAGGAGCCAAGGATTCACTTTTCACAATGTAAATAATTATCAGAAGGTTTTCGATGGGCATATCGATATATCCTAAATTTATCAAAACTTATATAATGATATAAAAAAAATTGGGTGAAATATTTCATTCTTAAAGAATGATAATTTCATTTTTAGTGCTAATAATATTATCAGCAAGTACTATTAGTTTACTATCTATATTATTTAGTCATTTCAAAATATCTTTCAGAGCAGACGTAGTATTAGCAGAAATTTAGTGTTGATTTTAATTGTTTGGATTCTTATTTTTTAATGCATCAGCATATAAACCTTTGGGTATTTGACTTGACTATTAATTTGAAGTATAGTTATTAGGATAATTATTAGATTTTTAAAGGTGATCTATATGAAGCAGGTTTGAGCAATCATATAGTTGATGATATAGATTTAAAGGTTTTTGAGATGAGCAATTTTTAGCTTCATAATCAGGGTTATCATATTGATAACAATATATTAACAAAGAATAAAACATTGGATTTAAATTTATAATGAAATTTAAGAGCAGTATCATAATACTCTTGATTAGTTTATGTAAGTGTATAAATAGTTTTGGTATTGAAGGTCATGTAGAATAAAGCAGAATTTAGTATTTATATTATCTATAAAGTTGATAGGCTTCATTAGATTATATTAAAGAAAAGACCAATTAATTTTAACTTGAATTATTGTCTTAAAAATCAATCGTAAGGTAAAATTTTAGATAGATTTAATTGGTAGATTAGGAAGTCAATTTTATTGCCTTTGATAATCATGTAGATCATAGATATCCATTTAGTTACCTGCAAATCTGACAATTATATTAACAAAATATCTTTATTTCCTAGTAAAATAGTAACTTTATTTCTTTTGATATATTTAGTTTAGTTTATTTTATTAATTATTCAATATATATAAATATTTCTATATTTTTTTTGAGTCTCAGCATTGATATGATAACAATTATTTAGATACTAAACTTACATATTATATTAATAAAGAAGTATAATTAACCAAATATAAAACTTATCCTTTGCTAACCCTTTAAATCTGTTATAAATTATTTGTGATCCTTTTGTATTTGTGCAATCCCTTTAATTATTGTTAATAAACTTATTATATTGATTCACTGTATTGCTTAGAGATTCTGAAGCATAATTTCTAAAATATCTTTAAGTTATCTTTGTGTTTATTTTGTATTTATTTTATGTGTTTTTATTTAAAATAATTTTAGATGTTATTGTAAATCCTCACCTATAATTCTTTGAGTAATTGTCTTAGTTTTATTTACTCTTTTGAGATTTTATTTAAAGTTACAAAACTATCATAATAATGCATCAAGATTTGTAAGTTTAATATGGATGAGAAGTCAAGTAAAGATAGTAACTATATGTTATCATAAAAGAATTTAATTAGGTCAGATAATTTATAAATTATAAAAGTAATTTACCAAAGATTTCTGATAATCATTAAAAATTTTAAAATTATGCTATATTATTAAAAAAAATTTATATGACATCTGATTTAACAAATAAAAAAAATATCATTGACTCTGATATTTCTTTTTTTTTTAGTATTTATCCTTTATTTTTAGCAGATAGATTAGCAAATCACAAATATAAGGTTGCATTACATTACTTAAACTTTAATGACACTATAAATAAGTTGATTAAGTAAGTAAAAATATACAAAAAATTTTCTTAAATTAGTATTGTATGAGACACCCTAGAATTCTGAAAAGTTAATGAAAAGCCTGTTAATAAAATTACATTTGTATATGACAGATTTTTTAGTAATATCTGCAATATTATCTGATATGAAAAAATCATGTTAGAGAAATAATAATATTTAAAAAATATTTTATGCATCTTTGTTAAGTGATTTGTCAGATTTATTTACATTATTTTTTACTTGATCAACCCAAAAAATATGTTTATTTTTGATTTTATCAACTGTATAGAAAAAAGGTTGATTTGTTAGTGTCTATGATTACTTTAGTATAATGGAGTTATTAGTACTGAAGTCTTATTCTATAAGTAATAAAATTTTTTTAGTTATATTTATTTCTATTTTATATACTTTTGAGTCTTTAATAATGAAGTTAGAGTAGTAGTATTTAAAAAAGTTTGTGTGAGAGTTAATATTAGTTTGATAATATTAGATATTTTTATTTTAGTTAAAATATTATCAGTTTTTAATTGTTTAATTTTTTGTCTTTTTATTATTTTTGTAATTTTTTTTAATTTATTTTTGCTGTTATTTTTAGAAAATGAGACAGTAGATTATTTGTTATTTTTTAAATTATTTGAGATTTTTTTATTATAAGATTCAAGTTTTTTTATAGTTATTTTATCTTATTATTAGTAATATTTTAATGAGAAGATTAAAAGAAAGAATTTTATATAATTTTATTAATAGTTATTCAAATTATATAATTATAATCAGTAGTTACTGAAATATATTATATAAATTATATTGTATAAATAATTTTAATTACTGTATAATATAAATTTATTATTTTTAACAATTAATGATTAAAATTAAATAAAATTTAATATATTATAGTTTAAAAATATAATAATAACATATTAAAATTTAGTTTAATTTGAATTATTAGTATTTTTTTAAATTTATAAATTTAAAGATTTAATATTTACTAGGTAATAAGAACTATTAGAGCATCCAAAATGTCTTTTAATTTATAAATCTCAAATCTTAGTAAAATATATACAAAAATGCAATTTTAATATGTATACTAATCTCAGTTTCTGATTAGTCATATTACATATGTGAATAGAAATACATATATAATTTGCAGTAGAATGAAAGTATTTTACATTTACGCTTCAGACAATTACATATTTTAATTTTATTATTAGTAATATATTTATATAAATTACTTATAAATTAATGATTAAAATTAGCAAAATTTTGATATTTAATGCAATATAATTTTATAATATATTAAAATTTTATTTAATTTGAATTACTGAATGATAAAATAAATGATAATAAATAATATTTAAACTTATAATTAAAATTTATAATTTTAAAAATTGTATAATAAATATTTCTATAATTACTGATTAAAATTTATATAATATAGTTTGAGATTCTATTATAATATATAAAAATTTAGTTTAATATAAATCAGTAGTTATTAAACAATCTAATATAGAAAATGGTATGCAAATATTTTTGATCATTCTCTATA